AGATCTGCTTTTAATTTCAAACTTATAACTGAGCTGTTTTGATCCACAAAGTTGGCAGTAAAACAGGCCGTCGAACAATCAGCCAGCCATGCATTGTCAGTCTGTGGAACGTTTTCATCGGAGCTCCATAGAGCAATCTCACTCTCACAATGTTGTTTATGAAGGGCGCTGTTGTCCTTCTTTGTGAAGAGAGAAAAATTGTAGCTGGCGATGTAATTCGGGGAGGCGTGAGTCGTTTCTGAAGAACAGCGCGGCCATTTTGACAAAGCGCATTTGATACCTTGAAATGAATTGTGTTTGATAATGAACATGAAAACACAATATGAGGAACAGAGAATGGAGGACTTCTAGCAGAATATAGGGGTGAATCATGAAGGGAGATTGAAGGAGGTCAGAAAGGAGCGTATTTAAGTGTGATGCGTTAAGAAGGCCTAAGATGGAATGAACTTGAGGGGTCATTTGAAGAATCGCCATATGAGAAGTTAGAACCACAATTGTTTCTTTTCAAAGGATTTACATGGAGCTTTTGATGGTGGGGGGATGGGGGCCACGATCGCTTCCCGGATGGATGCTGGGACAGCGTTGTGGGCCACAGGTTCAAACGACACACATGTTAATTCTTGCTTGGATACGTGGGTGCAGTGATGGTGCGTGAGACGTGCAGTGATGGTGCGTGAGACGTGCAGTGATGGTGCGTGAGACATGCAGTGATGGTGTGTTAGACAGGGGGGCTTGTGGGGCTGCCAGGGTTGAGTTGCCACCCGTCCTGTATATTATGAAATCCAATACAGTGTTTTGCCACACATTACTTCATATATACGCACACTAGGTCCTAGCGTGTGAGTGTGTGAGCGTGTGTGTGATTGTGATAGTGTGTGATTGTGTGAGTGTGATTGTCAGAGTGTATGATTGTGTGTGTGTGATTGTCAGAGTGTGTGATTGTGAGTGTGTGTAACTGTGTGTGTGACTGTGAGCGTGTGTGTGATTGTGAGAGTGTGATTGTGTGTGTGATTGTGAGAGTGTGATCGTGTGTGTGTGTGATCGTGTGTGTGATTGTGAGAGTGTGTGATTGTGTGTGTAATTGTGAGAGTGAGTGTCTGATTGTGTGTCAATAAAATGTCTCTACTTACCTCTGCACTGAAGTGAAGCAGGCGGGCAGCCCCAGAACTGCTGATTCTCGCAGATGAGAATCAATTGTTTGTGTATTTATAAAGTATAAAGGACTGATAAAACACGTCCGTTTGGCTGTCATGTCATTGTATCTTACTGAAAGACTGTAGTTGAATTAAGTGGTAAAGTGATACCATCCAGTTGTGTGTGTTGGTTAGTCGGTGACAGACATCCACCTGTTGTTGCAGTTTTGGGTTGAGTTTTATTGGGTTGTGGAACGACTTGTCTCTACATGATTTAACAGGATTATGACAATTGGAGTAACTAAAAACTGCTCATAGTGTTACAAAGATTAGGTGTGGATTAGGAACACAAGTGTGGATCAGAAACACGAGACCTTTGTGCAACATTTGGCCTGTATGAGGCACGAATGGGAAGCTCCTTGCCAGCCATCGGAAGGCGGCTGTGCCTTCAAAGTATCGTAAATGGTTTCAGCCCTTGAATGTGCACATCTGGTCTTAAGTGGAGAATGCACACTAACCAGATCCAGGCTTATTATCTTTCACGTTTCAGTGTTTTCTGTCCCCCCCCCCCCCCCTTATTTTTGCGTAATTTCTAGACATTCCACAGATTGGTCTGGTTTCATCCAGCTCCTTAAGGAAGGAAAATACATAAAATACACACACCAAAATGCAGACGCATCCGAAGGGTCATCAGAAACAGGACTTGATGTCTACCGTACTTTGGAGGGTGACGGCATTTGTACATCAACATTTGACAGCGTGTCACCTCAATTGAGGCATTTCATGATCAAAACAGACCCGGCAAAGATTAAAAAACGAGAAATTAAGCATAACTAAGACAAGGAATGCAAAAACAGACAAAGATCAAGTGAAAAAATGTGCATCAGCGTATGAAACCAAGATGCTGAAAAGCTGAATGTGTTTACATACGAAAGGTGGGATTTAGTTTTAAAATGAGTCTGTTTCTCTAATGCCTGGGGGAAGAGAGTCCCACAGGGCAGGGATTCCCAGTCTGGTCCTGGGGGACCCACAGATGGTCCACATTTTTGCTCCCTACCAGGAGCTGGAAGGGAGCAAAAACTAGGACTGTCTGGGGGTCCCTGGGGAATGGGATCCCCACACACTGCTATAGCGTGCAAGGAACTACTGGAATGGCCTCATGACTAACAGTACAACAGCATTAGCCACAGGGTGGATCCACATTTGCACCCTTGCAGCCCCTTGGCTAAGTTGCAGTTCTGCACATCATGACACATGGTCCCAGACCACGAGTGGGGGGGTGTTTCCTAGTTGCTACCCAGCCTTTGGCCTTTCTGTAGAGATGTCTGGTAACTGTGTTCCTGATGCATCCCAGGGAGGGACACCAACGGCAATCAAAAGTGAATTAAAACGTACAATTATGGCAGATAATTAAAAACATTTCACATGTTCAGCTACCCTGAGATACCCTGAGTGTTTCTCAATCTAGACCACATCACTCAAACCAATGTGGTTACCCTTTGTGTCCACATCACTCACTTTATCATTATACTGGAGGAATGAGCTGTTTTTGTAGCCCCAAATGCGGTAACGATGGTCCTCGTTAGGCACCTGCTAAATTAGTCTCTTAATTTGATGCAGCTGCCATGAACAGAAAATTGGACATAAATTAGTTTGGAGATAATGGAAATGTTTGCCTTTATAAACAACTCTGAAAAGGCTGTTTGTATTTGTGCGGCAGGCCAGACTTAATCCGATGTTAATTAGCGATTCAAATGGGGGCTGAGTGTTGGACGGGAAGTCGAGAGGATGTGGAAAAAAGAATAACAAAATGAGAAAATCCAGATGCAGAAGTGAGAAGGCAATGACAGCAGCTGTAGCACAGATCCATCGTGGAACTTGCTGGAGATGGATGGGATTCACCCTCCCCAGTTTCCCAGTTGCCTTTTTGATTTTTTATACCAACGTAATTGACTCTTTGGGCCTTAAGACAACAGATAGACTCCTGTCTGTGACACACCAGCTCTCATCAGCAGCGATGATGTGTAATAAAAGTAGGAGCTGCGTCTCTGAAGGGCCCGTGCAGGTTGGGGCTTGAGTTTGATGAGGATGCGTCAGTAGCAGCCAGCTTAGGCAGGTTTGTAAGGACAGTCTGCAGAACCTTTATGCTTCATCCGGCAGCAAGAGTGTCAAGAAGAGCAAGAGGCGGTGCCTCCATGCGAAATTCCCCGCCTTCCCACGTCCATAAATACACACGGGGGTATATTTTGCTCCCAAGGTACCCATTAAGCATGAAAACAGCAGAGCAACTGGACTAAAGACAGATGCACCTCTGTGGCAGTACACAAATGATTACTAGCATGGTGACCTCAAATAGCTAGTCTGGTTATGGGGAGAGATTGTGGAGAGGGAGAAAATGGAGCTCGGGAAGGTGCCTGTGTTTTGGACAAGGCTATTTGGGCCCCCAGACTAGTTATTTTTGGGACTGAAACGTTTTTGGGTTGACGGAAATAGCCGGTGCCGCAGACTAGGATAATCTGTCCAAGAAATATCAAAATATACACAGGTCATAGGGTACAAAGCCATAATTCAGTGTATATGGAAAAGCTCATCGAGCATTTAACTATTGAGAAGATTATGTATCCATGTGAAACAATGAGAAAGTCTTCATACATCTTACTCAGGTCAAAGTTGTTCTACCATGAGACAGCGAGGATCTTCACACTGCATAATGATTGCAGCCCTCTGCTGAAGTGTATGGCAGCTGTAGTACCATAAAGAGCAGGATAGTGTCGTTGACCTGGGTCTTTGAATGGAACAGAGATGTGGAATCTCAAGCTCTCAGCTGGACTAGTGGGAGGTTGTAAGTGATGTTTCATTGGTGGTCCTCCTGGTGTCACATGAGCCGACACTTATGCGAGATCAGGTCTGCTGTGATGCCCTTTGCTGCTGCACTCGCGCTATTACTTGCCACAATTACCATGCATACTTCTCTAGATAAGTGTGCACTAGGTGGAAAGAAAAACATACACCCATTTTTAGCAGGCACTTATCTTCTTGTCATCTTGGTGTCCTGGGAATGTGGGTGGAAAATGCAGTACCAGAAGGATGTTCGTGAATGAAATGCGCTTGCAGAGCCCTGGAGCTGAGTGGGAACCGATAAAGCCCCAAAGGCGCGGGGCAGTACTATTGCCTAGTTTCCCTCTGGGGACAAAATTACTGTTGACTCAGTGTATCGTGGCTCCTGGTGCCTTGGTCTCCTTCTTCATTTTTACTCCTCTCCTTCAGATGAGGGTCGTATTTGCTCTTGTCCTCCCAATTGCTATCATTCCTTTAGTTTATTTTTCTTATTCAAAAGGCCTGTTTTAAAGATCTCAAGGTCCTGTTGTAGCTTTTGATTTTTCTCTCTCTATTCAGAGTATGATGGAACACCGTGGTCAAGTCGCCTGCCCATCCCAGAACAAGGCCGGCCATGGTTGGACTTTTCCATGTAAGCAATGTGACGACCTTGACCTAAAATCCACATCTCTAGTTAAGTGGAAGTGCAGGTGCATGTAGGTGTGTCACCCCACACAATCCTGCCCAGAGCCTTTAGGTCTGAGCGGTTTCCAGGCAGGGAACATGGGATAGTCATGCGTGGATTGTCACGTGGAGTGTTGCATGTCAGTGCCCTGCGTTGGGCTTGCATTCTGCCCTGGATGTACCCCTGTCTCGTGCCCTTTGCTGCCCCAGGCTGACCCTGTATTGGAAAAGCAGTTGGAGGACGTGTGGATGGATGGAAATCCAGAGTGTGTGTTTTTACTCTAAGCTCCAGTGGCAAAGCCCCTTTGAGTCCATCACAGGATAACCTTTAAGATGAACATTCATTTTTTAATTTAAAAACCGCTGATGAGCTCTTAGTGGGTAGATTTGTAGGTTTTTTGTACTAGACTGTACAAAATCAATATCAACACAATATTGCAAGAATTTCTGAGATACAATCAAGATAAATCAAAACAAAATGTAAAACAGCGTAAAATTTGTTCATGTATTTTAAGTATGTATAGCTTACTCACTCACGTATATATATATATATATATACACACACACATTTTATCAACAACCATTTGGATAATATAGGATTATGCTGATTATCAGACCAGTAAGAATGAGTTTGCTGTGGAGAAGATGGTGTTTAAGTCCATGACTATCTGCATAGCTTTAAATGAGTCACGAATTAAATCAGTGGTTGTAATTGTGCCTTTAATGGACCCAAGGCCTCAACCAGGCCTGCAGATCCTCCACCTTCTTGTGATCATCTGTGTTTGAAGGTATTTTCCCCTTTTAGGTTCCTAGCAGCAGTACATGTCATGCTCTGGCCTTGTGGGGCTTCCCTGAGGCATTGCTGGTTTGGTTCTACCCCAGGATCCTGCCCTAAGGGGCTGAAACCCAAGTCAAGCTCAATCTACACACTGCGAACACAGTAAGACTCTCTATTCACACCCTGAGGTCAGACAGGCATTGGGACTGTACAGCACCAGATGGGGCCGGTCGGAGCAGAGCGAATTCTCACTACCCATCGTGTACCACCCAGCCGGCCATCAACAGATAATGTGCCGTGATCCTACTGGACTCAGCAATCGCACTGAAAAGCTCACAAAGCTAGGGGGTCACTAATGACCCTGACACTGACCAGGCATCGCCTATGGATGACCACAGCCATCTTTGCCCAAGCTCTCACAACCATAATCACCTTTGTTTCTTTCCCCCAGTGTCCCACTGAGAGCCGTTTCACTTTGCAAATACACTCTTAGGAAACTACGTGCCTGGATTTGGTATTTATCCCTCCAACCACTAAGTTCTTGGTTTGTGTCTCTAAAAACTGAAATCGGTCATGACTTACTGCTACCAGTGGAGTTCAGGTAGCAGTCCATGTCGAGCATCGGCACATTGGCTGGGCTCTGCTCAGTCAGTACCCCTCCTGTGCCATCCTGCGCCGGTTCTGGTACCAAACAGCAGTGGGCAGGTTTTGGCAGCCCATGTGTTCCCTCTGAAGCTCCGCCTCCGTCAGGGTCGGGGTGCCTCTACAGGGCGCTCCGGCCAGTGTGATATTCAGAAGGCCTGCGGGGGGAGCCAGAGCCAGACCCTGCAAAGTAAGACGGGGAGATAAAGCCAAACCTCACATCTGCTTGATTCCTCATGCCTACGGGAACCTTCGATGCACCTGACTGAGGTGGTCGATGAGGCACTGCCTGGGCTCCAGGGAAGCCCAGAATTCTGCAGTGTGGGTCCAGGGAGCGGCACCAAGCAGGACCACGTTCCCGTGCTTGAAGGACTTGCTCAGCTTGCTGTGTATGACGGCGCTGTAGCTCTGCTCCACGAACAGCAGGACCCGATTCGCTCGACACCCGGCGAGGTCGGCCAGCAGCTCGTCCACTGAGTAACACTCCCTCTGGTCTGCCTGAAGCATGGGCAGAGGACAGTCACACACAGCTGCTTATCTACAAGCATAATGTCAGGCATGCTGCTGTTCCTCTTTTATGTGGACCGTGCACAGTGGTGAGTCTATGCCGCAGACTCCAGGACTCTGTCCTCTTCTTTTTTGTTTTGCCTGTCTGGGATAATCAGCTTTCACTCTCTGTCCTTGGCCACTTTGCACCCATTGTTTTTTGGAGGTTTTGGAATCCAGCTGTTCCCCCAGAAAACATGTGACATGGTTAACTAACCACCTTCAGAGCGGAAGGTGGGATTTGGCCAAACCGACCTGCTGGGGGGGGGGGGGGGGGGGGGGGGGTGGCAGGAAGTTTAATCTAACGTTAGAGGACTGGCAGTGTTCTGAATAGCCTGTAAATGAGCCCATGAATCACCGATGTAAGATTTTAATAAAACAAACCCAGGCTTCAATCACAGGTCAGTCCCAAAAATGAGACCCTTTGTGTTTTGTGGGACTTGAGGTGGTTTGTGGCTGGGGGGGGGGGGCACTCACGATGCCGTCGTTGTTGCTGTCCCACAATAGCATGGTCCCATCGCTACGCGTGGGGCTGTTCAGATACAGGACCAGGGAATCTGCACAGTTCTGCTTGCGGCAGACATAGGAGATGTGGCTCCGGATGACCTCCTTCTCTGTGGCAGGATAGGCGTCTCCTGCCTCCGCCTCTGAATCAGCATGTCACAAACACAGAATTGGGGACATTAATATATAAATAATCCCATTTATTGTTCTGTCTCCTACTGGCAGTAACTTTTTTTACCTGGTTTTCAGCGGTCTGGACCCTGTCCCAAAAGACATAATGTATAAGGATAATTTTATTCTGAATATGACATTTATGAATTTGAAGGAAAATCGCATACATTCACACTGAGCCAAATGTCCTGGGTCTGAGAGAGGAAACCAGAGTAGTTACACGAAGCCACACGAGAACAGGAAGCCTGCAGACAGGTGGTGGACATCACATCCCTGCAGCTGTGAGGTGACCCCCCCGCACCCCCACTGAGTCGCCCATCCCGTGACACCTAAGCAAGTGTTGGTATTAAGTAGCTGAGATGTCATACCCCCACACGCCCACAGAGGGCAGCACTCACCCAGCACCTGTCCACTGCCAGCAAAGAATATTTTGATGTGGTTCTTGTGGAAGCCGTTGTTCCTGAGCATTTGGTAGAAGAGCCTCAGGTTCCTCACATGCTGCTGGTGGGTGATCTGCTGCCGCCAGCCTCCTGCAGTGTGAAGACGATGGTTACGGGAAAGACGGCGCCCTCTGGTGACTGGCCAGGCACCGGGCAATGCGGTTACCCGAGAGGAGCACGGCGTGGTCACACGTCTGGTACAGTCGGCATGCCAGATGAGTTGTCAGTGGCTGCCGGTGGCAGCGGCGCGTGTTCCGGTCCAGCTCGCAGCTGGGGGCGGGATCTCCGGGGCTGTGGCCGGACAGGAGCCTGGGACACTGTGCGAAGTGCGGGAGATCTGCAAGGGCAGGAGAGGCACGGCCACTCAGAAAAAGGCAGCGCTAAATTCATCTCGGTGTCCCAGCTCAAACTCACCCACACAGTGCAGCCGCTGCGTCCGAGCGCTATCCCCCACTCCAGCCACCAGGGGGAGGAAGTGTACCTCACAATGCCCCCCTGTTGGCGCTGCCCTCGCGGCACGTGCCTTGGCCCCCATCTGGACACGGGCCCTTCCCCGGCGCTCCGGGTGACTCCTACGCGGCCTCAGCTGGTTCTGGCAGCGATCCTTCAGCGCCGCAGTCAGGCAGTCCTGCCCTGAAACGCAATACAGGTGCCACCACTTTGCCCCCTGCCAGCAGAGCAGCCGCGCAGCGCACTCGCCTCGTGCGATAAATGTCAGACGGCGATCTGCTCTCTCATCGTGCACATAATCAGCACGGAACCACATTTTTGACAGCATGCTATTTTTAATATACCGACGTGACCTTTCCCATGTAAAACTGAAGCTTTAAAGCAGATATTAAGACCGCTACAGACTTCAAAGACCTTGAAATATACTGATGATGCCATAGAATTAGGCCCAGGTTAATTAATGGAAAACAGGAGAAGCCTATGTTGGCATGAGAAGCATATTTTAATGGGGCCAAAGACTGTCTTCACCCAGTGCCCAGTAACCCACAGCATTTACTTTGATGTTTGATGTTCTTGTATGTTTTGGCTTATTGAAGTCTAGTTAATGCCAAGGGAAGAAAGGGTGACAGCTTGTTTGGAAAGACACCGTTTCCACCATGCCCTTGTTACTTCAGATGAGTTGGTTAAGCCCAGACACACGCAAGCCCTGCAAATCACTTCCAGATCCTTTTCCACTGAGAAACGTGAAAAATAATCCCGTCCCCTTGGTGCCGGCATTCCTGTCTTTTATGTCAGCGATCAATAGCTTTCATGGATTTTTTTCTGATTCATCACAGGCAGATAAGTGTGTCACTGTGCACGAGTTCCACGCCTCATCTGTGTGCCGTGTGACGATGTCCATTAAGCTAAACTGCATATGAATATGTGATGTTGCATGCGAGTTTAATCATTTATGAGTTCTATGTGAGAGGGTGACATTTCACTATTTTAAACTATTTTAAATGCCCAGTAAAATCTGAAGGCGGAGGATCGTAACACCAGTGTCCTGCTTATGTTTCTCAAAGGCTAAACATTTCATATTTACCTCAAGATCTTCCACCGGGGTAATATGACAAGAAAACAGGTTAGAAACCTCATATAGATGAGTGAGGTTTGGGTAGGACATGAGTGCCTTATCTCCTTGGAAGAAGGATGGCCAGTGTTTCAGTGGGGTATGTGTGCTTGGTCTCCATGAAGGAGAGAGAATGAAAGGTAGAGTGGGGGATACAAGACCTGGTCCTGGAGAACAGAAAGCTAGGATTCAGTAGGGTACTCATGGCATCTCTCTACCTGGCATCCTGTCCAGAGTGTACCCTAGCCTTTTGCCCCCTACAGCCTGGAATAGACTCCAGTTAGATAATGGTTAGATGGATGGATGGATGGATGGATGGATAGCCTCTCTATGGCAGAGAGAAGAGTGGGATTTGTGCAGGGTTGTGTATGCCTTGTCCACAGAGGAGATTAGTGGGGTTTTGTCAGGGTGTACATGCCGCGTCTTCAAGGAAACGAGAAGGGAGGGTTTGGACAGTATTCAGTGATCTGAAGCATCTGAGGAATTTCCTCTGTGTATATTATTTCACACAACAGAATGAAAGTGGTATTTAAAAGAGCAACAGTCTTGTATAGCATCAGGGCTAAATGCCCTGATTTGGCAGGTCTTCTCTAGAAGACAGCGAACGCCACTGCAAGATGATGTCTGAGATCTGTTACTCAGTGTTCACCACCTGGCCTGCAGATAACCCAAATGTCTAGTGCACCAGGAAGATTAGTCTCCTGATTGTTACCCGTAATTTTAACAATGGATTTCCAAACAATCATTATCAGTCCAGAGTCACCCCAAGGCGCTTTACATGGGTGTGTTGTTGTTTTTTTGTGAAGAAAATGTGGCAATATCTTGCATCATACTACAATCACATAAACTAGCTTTAACATGTCTAAAAAGTACTATATCGCAGATGTGAAAAGGAAGAAATTAATCTTTTGCGACTCAGGTGATTACTTATAAGCGTATCAAGTTGTACTGCTGTAAATATAACCATTAAAATTAAACACCTTCAGCACCTAATCATATCACAGTGTAGCACTGCATTAAATTTATTTTATTGTATATTGTCGGACACGGGTTGGAATCCTTAAAAACACCCATCTGTTTGTGACCCGTTACTTCGCAACGTCCTGTTTATTGATATAACGAAAAAAACAGGAAGCCTCACGCTTATTAGCACTAAAAGAGCGATGCATAGGTTGTATACTGATCGTTACCCTCCCTCGTCTCCACATCGTACTCTTCCGTGTAGGCTATTCCAAAATAGGGAGTACAATATATGCCTAGCGATTGCACTGTATTTCTGTATCTACCATTCCTGTTTGTCTTTCTTTTTAATAATTTACAACTGAATTTCAAACATCATTGCACAGTTAACTTGATTTTACTATAGCTTGTCACTTTGTCGTTCTATTTCGTCGAAGGGCGAACTTGGCAATCAAGCAGGTTTTGCTATTAGGTGTTATATTCAACGAAAAACTATATACTAACTGTTTCTCACACCATTACTATGGTTGGAATGGTACCTAATATGTGTCTAACTGTATAACATTTGGTAACAAATGGCCCGATTCAGATGAGTACAAAATATAATAGATTAAGTTGATGATGATAGTAGGTATATATGCTAACCTAAGACTACTGCTAAACTATTATTCCGATAGTAGCCTACAATTACTAATTCGATCTTACTCAGCAATAAATCAAGGTCATTATATTGGTGTCAGTCACTTACACGCTATACTGCTGATGTTCAGATACACTTACCTGAAATAAATCCGTCTCTGTGTTCGCATTTCTTCCTGGTTATGTTGAGATCGACGTAGAAAAGAGCGACGGGGTGTCCGAAACTTTCCTCGGGACTGGGGTCCAGCACCAGCACCGCGTCGCCCTGGGACCGCGGGGCCAGTAAATAATCATGTTTGGATGCGTACAGGCTCGCAGGCTGGGAGTCTGGCAGAATCGCCATCACTTTGTCGGAGCTTGACTCGGACACGTAGACCGCCACTCCGCTCTGATGGATGTGCGAGAACTTCTTGCATTGCCGCTCCATCAAGGTGGATGCCTTCCGGCACATGTTCAGCTTCAGATGCTGGAATCCGGTTTTCGCCCACCGATCTACTGTATCTAATTTCACCTGGGAATAGCGGCACTCGACAGAACAGACAGTAAGAATAAAAAGAACCACGTGAATCCATTGGAAATGTATGCCTTGGTTGCCTGGGAAAGTCATCGCCAGCTCTGTTGTTGTTTTTAAAGCGCCTATTATATAGTTACTAATGCATCGAAAAGCATCACGCATTAGTTAACTACTTGTAGTCAGCTTGAAATTGTTTTGGAGCCGCGACATAAGGGACAAGGTTTCCACTTGCTGCATTAAATTTTTAAAAATGTGTCTTTCTTCATTAAAGGGATGCTTCCAAGGGGACAAAGCGAGCATAAGAGACAGAAATCTGCGACAGTAGCTTCATACCCCAGGCGCTGAGACGCTGGTAAACAGGAGGGGTGGCGCACGGATCCGAGAGCAAGTGTGCCGTGAGGGTGAGCTACCTGTCAGAGCATCTGTGTGTCTCCTGTGCGGCTTCGTCACAGGCGGGGGGAAACGCCATCTGAGTCAGTGTGACGGGGAAACACCATATTTCACATAAAAAAACCTGCTGCCCCGAATCAACCGAACACCTGCAACGCAACGCGGCTTACAAAAGAGTGAAAGACATTTAATATAGTTTCTTTTAAGGAAGGACCCAGCCTTAGGTTGTAAATGTAATGCATATGCAGTGTATAGCCAATTGCTATTTTTAGTCCAAAACTACTCGTCTACACATCTTACACTATTGAGTTATATTTATGTGAAAATGAAGTTTCACAATAGTTATACTAATTAAAAGTTGTGGGAACTCAGTTGTTTCCAGGCAAAGGGACCAAATCACATTTACAATAAGCTAGGCGTCTAAGGCCCTCTAGTGTAATTTAGGCAAAATAGCAACGCTTTACTTTTTTATTAATATGACATAGATGAAAGAAGCTTTCATTCAATAAATATAAGGAAGTAGCTTTTTCTACTGTTGTTGATGTAAATATGATGGTTCTGTTTGTCTGGTCCGTAAGAATTAAAATCAACTTTTATTTTTATGGTGTGTGTGTGTGTGTGCGCGCGTGTGTGTGTGTGTGTGTGTGTTCTCTACAAATAAATATGACAAATCTAAATCTAACATCTAAATGTATGTGCCCATGTGTGTAAGTTGTCCAGAATTAACAGGATGTACTAACTTACGTATACATTACAGCTTGATATGGACATTCCCTTTAGCCTACGTGAGACATACATTCACTGGCCACTTTATTAGGTACACATGTTCAACTGCTCTTGAAGCAAATATCTAATCGGCCAATCATATGTCCGCAGCACAATTCATAAAAATCATGCAGATAGCAGTGAGAAGCTTCAGTCAGTGTTCACATCAAACACCAGAATGTGGAAGAAAGGTGGTTTAAGCATCATTAAAATGTCACAACCTACCTGAGTATTATTGCTGATCATGTCCAAACCTTTATGACCACAGTGTACCCAGCTTCTAATGGCTACTTCCAGCAGGAAAACGCGGCGTGTCACAAAGCTCATGTCATCTCAGACTGGTTTATTTAGTTCACTGTACTGAAATAGCCTCTAAAGTCACCAGATCTCAGTCCAGCAGACCACCTGTGGGATGTGGTGCAACGGGAGGTTCACATCATGAAGGTGCAGCTGACAAATATGCAGCAACTGCATGATATTATCATGTCAACATGGACCAGCTTCTCTGAGGAATGTTTCATGCACCTTATTGAATCTATGGCATGAACAATTAAGGCGGTTCTGAAGGCAAAAGTGGGGTCCAACCCCATACTAGCAAGGTGTACCTAATAAAGTGGCCAGTGATTGTATATGTAGGGCTACAGGATTTTAGGAAACTAAAATGATTAAGTTAAATAAAGGAATAATATTAAGAATAAACTAGAACTCATAAATTCTTGGCATAAGAAATGAAATGGTTTGAATAAATTCGTGAACATTATGAAACTGCTACAGAAAATTGATGGATGGATGGATGGATGGATGGATGACTTTTATGAATAATTTTAAACCAGTCCGTCATTCACATTCATCATTCCGGTGTCAGATATGCATTTATAATATGTATATGCAACTCCGAATGCAAATATCAGATATTACAGTAGAGACAGGTGCACTGGCTGTTGCCCGGAGAGTAATCGTGACAGCATTTCTGCATAGCGCTGTGTGCACGCACGCCTGGCAGCTCAGAGCTGTCACGTGGGTGGCATTGGCTCTGACTCAGACTCTGACTCTGGCTGTGACTCAGCGAGGCCCGGGGCGTTACGTAAACCCTGTCAATGTGGAGGGTTCTGGCTTGAGCTCAACGTCTAAGTTCGTCTCTTCGCCTTGTCATAATGGATTTTGAGGAGTTGTTCGACGAGCGGACCTTTTCATTTTCCAACTTCCAGGAGTTCACGGTGTGTAATAGGGGAACTAACCTGGGAAATTATTTACGGCGACCGGGACGTTTCCCGCCCTTGTGTATAGTTAGCTATTTAGCCATTTGCGTAGCTTCTGCAAATATGCAGTAATATTTTGTATAGTTGGGTATCTGAGGCAAGGACTCCAGGAAAAAGGCCGTTTCAACCTTTGTTTTGAGCATGAGAGGATTTTAAAAGTAGGTTTTAGCTAGTGTCCGCTGTTGTGTGAACGGTGCTGAACCTGTCTGGAGTTCTATCGTCGGTTGCGTTTCAGGCGAGGCCGAGGCTTCGGGGAGGCCTGTCCGGTGTTTAGCCTGGATAATCGGAGACATTTACCACGTTTAACATGTTCGCGTATAGGGGAATGACACCGAGAGCTAACAACATAGCTAACGCTAGCTACACGTATAGCTTGGCATCAGTGTTGTTTACAGCCAAACACTGTTCCTGTTTGTGAAGTGGTCAGCTACCCCAAACAAGCTTTACTAAGCAACGAATTAAACACAGTAAACCGACTGTACATTGCCAGTCTGGGGAATTTAGGTAGTTTTTGTCATCGGCCCTTGGCACCTAGTTACATTTTTGCAGTGTTTGTGGAGGGAGTTGGCCGTTTGCAGTTATTGTATAATCAAACTAAACGTCTTCCGGGGGTTGTTGTTATTTTTCCGCGTTACTGACACAGTGTGACTTTGCAGTTTCTTCCCGGTCACCAGAAGTTATCCGAACGTGTTAGGAAGCGCCTGTATTACGGACTGGACAGTGACTGCTCGCTGGATGCCCTCTCCTGCCCTGTTACAGGTGAGCGGGATGCGACGGCATGTTAAGTGACACTGCACAATATGTTAGGCAGTCATAACGTCTATAATGTGGGCTAAAGTACTATTTGGAAGTTGAACCACAGTAAGAAAAAAAGAGATGCATGCGAAAGAATTTCTCCTTCATTCTCTCATTCATTTGTCTTTCCTTTTCCCAGTTTTTGTATTATTCTGTCTTAATGATGCCGTATTGTGTCGCAACACACCCATGTAAAGCGCCTTGGGGTGACTCTATTGTTAAAGGTGCTATTAAAAAAAAAATAGAATTGAATAAATTTGAACAATGCATTCCATTCTCAGTTCTCAGCCATGTTTCAGCCAATAGTTTCATATGCATCTCTGGCTTTTGAGACCCTTATTTTGTTTGCATTATTTTATTAAGGCAGGCTGCCTCTGTGTGTCGTGTCTTTCGCAGACATCGCCGTGGAACTGCTACAGAAATCTGCACCAAGCCCCATCCGGAAGCTCCAGAAGAAGTACGCAGCTCATGTCGCCAGGTTCGTTTCCTCAAGTCACCGTCCAACTTCCCTCTGTATGTTTGGGCTTGTCGCTGGTGTTTTGCTCTGAAGCGCTTAAGTGAGGCACATTCGCCACCTTGCAGGGAAGCCTGCATCTCTCCATGCGCCATGATGTTGGCTCTGGTCTACATCGAACGGCTCCGTCACAGAAACCCTGAGTACCTGCAGCAGATCTCATCCTCCGACCTTTTCCTGATCTCCATGGTACGTCAGCCGCTGGTCATATTCTGCAGTCTGACGTGTGGAAATTCAGGATGTTGGCCAGTCAAGATTCAAGATTCCTTATTTGTCACATAAGCAGTTATTCAAGTGCAACGTAGTGAAATGTACCCTGATTCGGTCCTGAGACTGTAATAAAGTTTTACAAATTATGAAAGGGCTAAGACTAAAGCAGTGGAAATATATAGAAAAAATATATCCAAATAAACATTACAATTTTAGACAATATCTGTGCAATGTGCGATATAGCAATATTATATATATATATATATATACATACATGCACATGTATTTGCATTGTGCTGTGTGCTATGCTAGTTGTTGTTGATGTAAATGGACCTAAGATATAGATGTCATAACAACAGAACGAAGAGTTTTTTTTTTAATGTTTCTTTGTATTTTTCCTCATTTCTTATTGGGCGCCTTATGTAATATGGTTATAATGGCACAGTAGATAGCATGGAAACTATGACAATTTATTTGCTATTTTGTCTTGATCAGTAGAGGGCTGAGGGCTGGTCTGCCAGTGGCTGAAAAGAGAGCGGATCTAAAGATGACTTTGCAGAGGATAATACTGCAGTATAAAAAAAACACTATATTCTGACTTGTCTAATGCTAGCATGCCCTCGGTGTTGACTTGTCCGTTGACCTTTAACCCATGGACTTTTGTTTTCCCTGCTTTCTTCTGACTTTAATTCTCTAGACTGTTTTTACCCTAAATTGTAGTGTTAGTTTGTGCTGCCGTGGTTTGCCAGTTTGTTCAGTTTGCCAGTTTGTTCAGTTTGCCAGTTTGTTCAGTACCATTTTACCATTGGGTAAAAATCAATCGGACTGTATTAGTATTTTGCTTGGTTGTGCAGAGTCGATTCTTGGATTTTCGTTTTGTCTTGTGGTTTCGTTTATTGACCATAAGTTTTCTGCTAATACATTATTAATGGCGGTGATGAATTGAGCTCATATGGAGTCGGGTCATGTAGCACAGGAATTATAGATGTGCAGGATGCGTTTCCACCCTTGACACTCTCAGAGCTATTTTAGTGCCTGGGCTTGACCCTGCTCTATTTTCTGTCACCAAGATGGTTGCCAGCAAATATCTGTATGATGAGGGAGAAGAGGAAGAGGTGTTCAATGACGAATGGGGTGCCGCTGGGAAGCTGGGTGTGCAGACGGTCAACACGTTGGAGATGAACTTCCTCAAAGCCATTGTGAGTGCTGATCTGAACTCTGTGTGTGTGTGTGTGTGTGTGTGTGTGTGTGTGTGTGTGTGTGTGTGTGTGTGTAAAATGGAAATGTCCTTCTTGCGCATCTTCGTTAAGTCATTTGTCTCTTGTTTTCTAGGACTGGAGTCTTTATGCTGAACCCTATGAGTTCTTTGACATCTTGAATCAAATAGAAACCAGGTATGTTTTTGTGTGTCCTGTCAGATTTGTAGTAGCATGCAATCGGCCAGTATATTGTGCGTTGATAGTATCACCATCACACGTTATACACATGCAAATGTCATATCAAGAGGACTGCAATAATCAGCTGGGTTATAATGTTATGTGTGACAATATAATGTTGTGTGTGAAAAATGTAACAAAAATGGCAAAACCACCAACCTATTAGGCAGATACTATTGGTAGATAAATAACATGTTTGGCTATGCAATCAGCCCGCATCTTATGTGGTTTTTGTTAGTGCAGTTTTTGAATGGTCGTGGCTCGAAAATAATAAAAAAAAAGCTTTAAAAGTAACCAAAATGCACAACTTCGGATTGGTGCGCAAAGTACGTGAGCATGGTTGAGCGTGGTGTGTCAGCGCGCTGTCTGCAAAAATCCTCAGGCCAGCATACTAACACACTTGCTATTCATTTACTGTGCTGTAGCATTTGCTGATAGATGTATATTCAGGGTAGATAGGCATTTTTATGTAAAGATCTTGCACGTACACACTTGTATAGTGGTGGGCTGCAGAACCAATTGACCATGTAAGATACTGGAGCACTGTAGTTTATTTATGGTACATATTTATTGCAAAAATTTCAATTCCACTATGAATTTTTTTTCAGTATCCTGCTGCTCTGCTATGGATATAAACCTTCTGGCTTATTAACGCAAACAACTTGCTCTGCCAAACAGCGATTCGTGGTGGCAGCTGAGCACGCATAGCACACAGGCAGGGTCAAGATGTTAGTTTACTGTTGGATCAGACATCAGAGTGGCTGATCTGTGCAGGTGTACAGTGTGGGCAGCTGTCTGGGGGTCCGTGTGGCTCACTAAGACTTGCGCTTGTCTGCACCTGAGAGTTGACAAGAGCTTGTAAACTAGGGTTGCCCCGATTGCATTTTCCTTGGCCTCTCCCAATTGCCTATTTTCCATCTATTTATTTATTTTTAAAAGCCTGACCTGTCAATACTGATCCTGTCAGATTCCAGTTTACTTAGTTATAATAATTAGTGGACTAAACATCTTTTAAACACTAATGAACTTAGCCTTCTGCAAGCAAAATATAAAAAAAAAAAAAATTCTATTAAAAATGGCAGCACAAGTGTCAAATTAAATTGATTGTTCCAAATGTTTCTGAGGTAGTTCCTCCATGGACACCTTTGTTCACTGCGAATTTAATATCTCTGTCCCACATTGTAAAGAATCTCCAAACAACAGATGTTTCCCATAAGTGTTTTCCCTTTCCCGTGATGCGGCATTACTGGGGGAGGGGGGGCAGGGGACACGACTGTGAATGGAAACTGAATTGGGGAACGGATGATGTCACCAAAATGTCATACTACAATACTTTTGGCTATAATCTCAATCTACAATATGTAACCCTTAACCAGCAAGTCTTTCCTTACAAAAACACTTCTTGCAGCAATATAACAATGAGCTTAATAAGATGTGTAAAATAATGCATGAAATTAATATAAAAGAAACTGACTCATTATAGCAGAAGTGCTTTTTAATTTATTTATTTTTTTAAGTTTCAGAAGTTTCATCAGAATGCAATAATGCAGATGGCAAGCATCAGAATGTTTATCACTTTGGTCAGAAACTACATTCCGCGCTTGTGATGCTAACACCTCAGGTGGTTAAAAACATCAGTTTTGTTGCTGGTGCTTTACAAACGGTAACGTTCAGAATTCATTTAAAGGCAAAGAGCCTTTTTTGGAGACAGTTCTTCCTCATCAGCCATGCTGCATACTCTGTTGCTCTTTACCGTGTGATACAAGCACAGTATTTTTATCAGTCCAGTGGTATATGAAGTTTGTTTTTTCACCAAGTTAGCTAACTGGTTAAAAAAAAAAAAGATCTAAGTTTTTAGTTCAGGATGTGGCCACTAAATTGAGATTGAATGACAGATAATTGAGAGAGATACAGGCAGTCCTGACATGTTCTGCGGGCTGAAATTGCTTTGTTTGACACAGGTCTTTTTTGTTGTAGTACTGTTGCAACATGAATTGTGTGATAGGCAGTTTTCAGTTTATGTCATTATGAAAATAGTGTTAAGTATTGCGCTTGTAACTGGGCATTCTTTGGAAGCTTAGTGTACCACATTTATGCTTGGCGCATTGCAAACATACATGCCTTCGGGAAGTACAGGCCTACGTGCCTCCCTTGTCCATCACTATCGACAAAAGCATCTACTAAATAAAAGTAAATGTAGTGCAGTATTGCAATTCTTACGATGCTTCTGAAGTGTGTCTTGTGGTTACAGTTGCAACCGATTATGAAAAAATATGGCCATATTACTCACCTCTATTTGGGACAAAAAGTAATCTTAGTTAACTACTTGATCGGTTCATAAAATCATCGTTATTTTGACTGATTGGCCAATTGCCACCCAACGTCGATCGAGGCGATAATCAGCCATTTAATTTCAGCATCCGGCTGTATTGCAGTAGCTACCATCACAGTGCAAAAGAGCTAATAAAAATTATCATGATGAATTAAATATGCAAACAATGTATCCCTGGAGCAGATTGCACATGCTGGCTTACCAGAGGCTTGGAAGTAACAAGATTTGTGTTACGATGGCACTAATCTTGTCCTTGGTTGTGCCTTGTTTTAATTGCACCCACTCTCATTCCAGCATAGCGGAGAAGCAGGGCCTGAACCGAGGCTGGTTTACGTACACTGACCTGTGCGTGCTGCTGGAGCAGTCGGCATGGCAACAGGCCTTCACGGCCATATACCACCACTTTGCCAAGGTGAGACGAGATCTCTGTTTAGCCACGGACACCAAACATCTTCCGTCATTGATAAAAATGCGTCGGGTCTGGTTGTCTGCAGGCATTTCTGCAGTGATGCTCACGGTGACTTCCTGCACTCTGGCAAGACCTGCATCTTAAATGCGTTTTCTTGCAGCTCACCTGCATGCTCGGGCTGGTCTACCTGACGAGCGTGGCGGGCCTCATCGCCTCCTCCGCCGTGCTGCAGCAGCTCGCCTGCCCCAGGGTTCGCGGTACACTCTGTCAGCTTGGCGTCCAGGGCACCGGATCCCAGCATGCTCTGCTCCAGGAAGCCATCACCCCAGAGTCCAGCCTGCCCAGCTGCATCCCGGGAAATGACAGCCAGAAGAAGCGTTCGGCCCTGAGGGCCTCCCTCTCTCCAGCTACCTCCTCACTCTGCTTCTGGGGCTCCCTGCTCACCTCGCTGGCCAGTCCCGATTTAGCACCGGACAGACACCAGCCAGCCTCCTCTCCATTAAGCTGTCTGGTCCCCTTCTCGCGACACCACTGTGGGGTCATTAACGAAACCGCTTGGCATCCCCCGGAGTCACTGCGCATCCTCACGCCCACGCCTGCCCCTCATGTGCCCGCTGCTGGACCCCAGGGCCACCATCTTGTTTTAAGTACCTTCACCCACCTCAAAGCCGGGCCCTGTTGCTCAGAGGCAATGGTTCCCCTCGGGAAGGTCCACAGTTTCCTAATGCCCAGTTAGAGACGTTTCTGGACGGCCGTCATGTTGAATCTGGGCGCAGTGCGTGGTCACGCTTGCAGAAATTGGAGCTCACTGTCACACGTCCTCGGAGTGAAGGGGGCGGGGGGTATGGTAAGGTTTTTAAGTTAAAAACAAGACCAGCCGCCTGTACTCTATCACCACTAGCTAGTTTATGGGAAAGATAGAGAAAGCTCACCTTCAAATGCCCCTCCCCGCAGGAATATGTCAGTTTACAACAACGACAGTTTAATTTACCTCACTCCGTCTCTCGTCTCAAGTGGGTTTCTGGCAAGCCGTCTGATAACTGCTTTTGAGTTGCATATAGTCTTAGGTATTGCATTGCTTTAAAAAGGGGGGAAAAAAATAATCTTGCACATTTTTTCAAAAATGTCACCAAATAAAATGTGCCCCCCCCCGTCCCCTCTGCCATCATGTTTGAGGTCTTAAAAGCAATATACAGCACGCTGGGATGGAGATGCCCTCCGTCCCGGCAGGCTTCTCTGTCATGAGTGCGTCTGGGACTTGGTTTACATTTTTCCTAGCTGGCACATTTAAAGATATACATCCATTTTATATAGTCCTTGTTTCCTCCACTTAAGGTAGCATGAGTTTTGATATTCTTGTACTTAGATTTTGAGTAACTGGGTAAGAAAGGCCGGGGTCATAAAGGAGTATGTTCTGCAGGATTTCTGTGTCAGGTCTGCATAGCATAGTTGTTGATTGATACAGGGATGGCACTGATTGTAATGACCAATGTTGTTATGCATATTTAATCCTGCGTTGGTGTGAATTGGTCACTGGGCTCAGAAAAAATGTGTAAAAGTACAGTTTTGGGGGAAATCCCTTCTCAAAAATTGGGAAGTGATTTTTTTAATTTTTTTTTTTGGTGAGTTATGAAATTGGGTTATGAAATGTTGACTTTGAATTTGGGATGGTGGGTTCTTTGGGAATGCTGGGAGTTGTAGTCTTGCTTGAAGTTTGTATGGAGCTCTGTGGTGTGTGAGCTCTCTGACATAGCCGTTGGTCCGATTGTACCACAGCTGTCGCTGTGCTCGGGACCTGAAAAAAAGTGTGGATCCAGCCAAGTTTTGAGTTGTGGAGGATTATTGTGAAATATGTGTGCTGAAGTGGTTCTGAAGTTGGCGCCCTACTTCTGTAGAAAGTTTTGCAAATTAAAATATAATTTCCATTTTCTTCTCAAATGTTTTTCATAAGAACCGTACACCCCAACTTGCTTTTTATTGGAGGGATATGTAAAAATTAAGCATATGTGCTTTAGAAGTGGACTGGAACTGGAGAGCTGGAATCATGCGAGTGTAACCCTACAGTCACTCAAGGGGGACCGGTGACACGGAGGGGAATGATGAGATGGAGTAATCGATGTGTGATGTTGTTTCCTGTCAAAATGCATCACTTCCTGTTGGCAGGGCTCTTGCACACTGAGGATTGGTGGTGAAACATGAAGCATTTTGACATGTATCCACAGCTAAAGAACTGGCAGCTTTATCTGGAGCTTAATCAAATGCTTAGTGTAATTTTTCTGAAGTTTTCGTGAGGAGGGATTCATGATTCAACCCAGCAGCACAGTGAGGCATCAGTCAATTTCTTGAAAAGATGTTCCCCTTCTTAATGATGGCCTCCAGTAGCGCTTAATCCTATATTTTAATTCCTCTTCACCCTGAACATCACCTGAATGCCTTCATGTATATCTGACCTTTTCCTGCAATAAATGTACATTTTTTGCTGTGAGTCTAAGTGGCTTAGGATGTTTTTTTACTAGCTCTGCTCTAAACAATCAGTTCATTTCTATTCACTTGTTCTTACATTGAACTTGTACTTGCAGTGATTTGCAAACACGTTTGTCCTAAATTCACTGTGCAATTTTGTAGCACAAGTTCAGGCACATTACATGAACAAATAGAATTAAAGGTGTAGAATAAATTGTTCTTTGGAACTGTTGTGTGGTTATTAAAATCGGTTTTTGACAGCGGCAAACATATCCAGGCTCGTTAGTGTCTTAATTAGTCCTGGGCGCAGTGCTTTAATACCCTCATTTGGCTGCGGTCTCCTGATCAGATGGACCTCTGCTTCTCTCTGTTCTTCAGTGACTTGCAGCTAGCGAGGATCCTGGGGCTTTACAGCATGTAAGTATGGATTTCGTTTTAAGTTTCGGAGAAGACATTAAGGTGACAGGGGCTGTGATGTTAGAGAGTACTGTTAGGTACCATGAACAAGTTAGCCAACCTTCAACTGCTCCAGTAAGAGACCCAGTATACAAACTGGTCATGCATGCACGCATTTAGATATGTCTTCGCATGGCTGTCATATGATTCGGCCCCCTTGTGAGTGTTTCACCTTCTGACCCGTCTCTCTCTGGCCTCGGACACCCCCTGTCCATCGCCTGATGGGATTGGGCTACAAAACATTACATCACATTTATGTTGGTTCAGTAGCAGGGAGTCGTATCCATCCACACGGATCTGTTCTATAACGGCACAGCGTCAGCGTGTGCTGACTCAGGCTGCGCAGAGTCACGCCCGAGTCCTCTCAGTGCCAATGCTGACGGGAAGCTGTGAGAGCGTGAGGGACCACAGTGTAATACAACCCGGCGCCATGCCACACATTTGGCAAGGGGACACGGCCGGCCGCACGCAGACATGGATTTCAAGAGGGAAAAGTTGCTGCTCCGTTGCTAGAATTACTAAAATAACAAGCGTCTGTGAGCACGTTTGTGCTGCCCCCCCCCCTCCCCCCCGACAGCTGTGTCCTCACCCTTTATCCTGGCCTTTATTAGAAAGTCACATCTCTGGCATTTCCTCTGTAGGCACTGCGGCTTTCGGCGCCGGGCCCTTTGACTGTAGTTAACCTTTCTGTTTTCGTCATAAATGTGTCCCTTGGCCAGCAGGTGGTAAGATTCCAGGCTTTTTTAGATTCCGGACAAGGGGCTGTGTTTCGACTTATTTTGAATTACTACATAGGTACTGAAAAATAAACATATCACTCTGTTATACAGTATGTCCCTCTGTAAAAGGCATATCTTAGGAAAGTTGCAATGATGATTAAGATTTAGGCTTTTATATTGTTCATTATTAGTGAAAATGAATCCCTCTTTGTCTCCACGCTCCTGATGGCCAGTTGACTTTGGACAGAGATGTTTTTTTTCTCCCTACTTGGGAGTTTTTGGTTCCTCTCCTCTGCTGCCGTCTTGTTTTTTTTTTTCTTTCATTTCTCTGTCTTTCCTTTTCCCCATCCCTCAGTGATGTTATAATGTATCACAACACACGCATGTATAGCGCCTTGGGCCATGCTGTTGTGAAAGGCCTTATACAAATATAAATTGAGTTGAATGGTCCATCACCGAGTGAGCAGGCGTCCCCTCTGCTGGCCTGCAGTCAGCAGATGCTATGCCCTTTTCAGAGTGAAGTTGGATGAAACTGTGACTATTCACACCCCTGGCTGCAGCGCTGCCCCCTGCTGGAGGAGGGCCTGCTGCAGGCTCTACATCAGAAGCTTGATTCTCGCCACGTTGTCCTGCTGTGTTGATAGGAGGGATGTCACCACAGCAACAACTGTGAATTTTATCCATCTGTCCATCCATGTTCCATACCCACGGGTTCTGCAGGGCTGCCGATTACCAGAAAAGGCGCCCATAGTATCACAGGCAAAACCCTGCTAATGTATCCAGTTCTCTGTCAGAAGAGACCCTGGCCTCTATTTATGCTTTGTTTTCTAACTCTCAGTAACATACAGGGTGCTGGCTTAAATCTAGGCACTCGTCTGTAGTGGCACCCTCTCACCACTAGGGGTGTAAATCGTAAGCTTTGCCATTACACGATTCAATATGTGGAGATAAACTATATTGCCAAAAGTATTGGGGCACCCCTCTAAATCACTGAATTCAGGTCTTCCAATCATTTCCATAGCCACAGGTGTATAAATCAAGCACCTAGACATGCAGACTGCTTCTACAAGAAAGAATGGGTCGCTCTCAGGAGTTCAGTGAATTCAAGCGTGGTACCATGATACAAAGCCACCTGTGTAATAAGTCCATTCGTGAAGTTTCCTCACTACTAAATATTCCACGGTCAACTGCTAGTGGTATTCTAACAAAATGGAAGCAATTGGGAACAACAGCCATGACGTGGTAGGACAGGTAAAATCACAGAGCGGGGACAACGCATGCTGAGGTGAACAGGGTGCAGAGTCGCCGACTGTCTGCTGAGTCAATAGCTACAGACCTCCAAACTTCATATGGCCTTCAGATTCGCTCAAGAACAGAACATAGAAAACTTCATGGAATGGATATAACACCTTTGGAATGAATATCCGAGGTCAACTGTCAGTGGTATTACTGCAAGATTGAAGTATTTAGGAACAAAAGATCATATAAAGTAACACAGTGGGGTTGCCAAGTGCTGAGGAACCTGGTTCGTTAAAGTCATCAACGCTTTGTTCACTCAATTACTGTAGAGTTCCAAACCTCCTCTGGCATCCCAGCACAAAAACTGTGCCCCGGGAGCTTCATGGAATGGGCTTCCAGCTGTATGCCAGCTTCACATCACCAATCGCAATTCCATTTAAAATGTCTGAAAAACACAATGTCTGCCCAAGACATTCTGTCTTATACATATACTTTAACAGCAAAGAAAGATTTCTGTACATGTACAGCTTACTCTCTGAAAACACAGGATAATAAGTAGATGAAATTTACTGTCGTGTATTTGTCTCTAATCTCTACAAAGGAGAGTCTCCAGATTGCTTTGTGTGATAAATTTTTTCACAGATATTTTTGATAGTGTTTCAGAGTATTGTCATACTTTAATGGTATGGATCAATATGTGTTAATTGAGTCAACTAAATCATATTGTGGCCTTGATGACCAATATATTGATTAGAACTGATTAACTATTACACCCCGACTTAACAATGTTGCATAAAGCCAGGTAACAGAGTGCAGGAGCTATTAATAACACTCTGTAGAGCAGCCAATCACAGCTCCAGAACTCGCCCTGCGGCTCTCTGTAGGACGTCTTCGGAAGGGTGACAGAAACGGGCCCTGCCTGTGATCTTTCTAATCCATGTCACCTACAAATTGTCTCCGCCCATTCAGCTCATATGTCACTTCTCGGTCTGGGGAGGTTGTAACTGCTTATGCGTTGCTTCAGGCGTCGTCATGACGACCTTCTGTAGAGGCCGTTACATGCTTTAGAGTTAGCAGCCTTACTTGCTGTTTTTCCCTTTGGTTGCAGGACGTGTGCGTGTCACTTTGGGTCTATGCTCAGGAATATATTGGTCCCTTTCAGACAAAGCCAGTGTAGCTCCTGCTGGTGTCCCGATCCCACTGGCCCTGTTGGAAACCATCAGCGGTTCCAGAGCCACGACAACTGGCTCGCCAAACTGTGTTGTACACACAGTCTCTGCCTCTGGATCTTCCCCTCCCCCCCCCACCCCGGCAGGCCCGGTCTCTCCACCCCGCCTACCCAGCGCCAGCCCCCAACATGCCACTGCCAGCCTCTGCTCCTAATTTAGACCCAACGGCTCCACGGTAGGCGAGCCCACTTGGAGCACGTTCAGGACGGGACGGGCGCAGCCGGTGAGCTTCTGCTAACACACCACATGTAACCAGCCAAACGCACGGGACAGCCCCTCACCATGGACCCTCTTGGTCAGGTAAGGCACCTGCACACCCACACATGCACATGTGTGTGTGAGAGCGTGTGGGCGAGAGAGCCAGAGAGGTGACTGGAAGCCCATAAACAGGCTGTTTTTGTGGTTAAACACAGACACCCACTGCGCAGTGAGTCATGATGAAAATACTGTAATTTCTTCTGTCACACTCACAGTTTAAACTGCCAGACTCAAAATTCAAATGCTGCTATTTTATTAAAATCTAACTTAGTTGTGATCTTGCATCCTTTCCTTTAACCTAATTGGACCATGTTAAAAGTCACTGCATATGGTGATGATTTTGTAATTCTGGTTTGCAACAGCGAAACACAGTGAACTGCTGTTTAAAAAGGCAACAACTCCAGTTTAATAGGTACCCAGTCTGCTAATCCAAATACTTAAAATTTTATATTCAGAAGACATAACATGTCACCAGTAAGTATCACAACAAAAACATGTGTCTTCACGAACGCAGTTCTGACTTCTTCTGGGAAATGAAGTTCTGCTTCAGCAGTGGGGAAGTCATGCTTCACTGTTTATTCTGAAGGTGCCTGAAACTGGATCTTTGTATAGACTAAACGATTTTGGAATGGAGGTGGGGAAAAAAATGGAGAGGTGTCATTGCCAGTGAGGCAGAACAGCTGGTGCGCTTTTCTCTGGGACAAGCCAAGGCTGTGTACCATCTCATTATGCAAATGAGTCCGCAGGAGACCGCGAAATTATACCACGTGCCTTGGCAATGCCGGCCAAGCTTTAGAACCCCTGCGATGCAACAGAATATTTTTGCAGGAATCAGTCCTGTCGAAATGGTGAGCAAGACCCAGTGATGGAGGTCAGGGTACCAAATCACTGGTCTGAGAGGGCAGGCTCACTGTACAGTAACTGGGCACAAACCGGATCAGAGCGACATAAAAGGAACTTCAGAAAAATGGTCATTTGGGCCAGTAATGGGATGGCGGGTTGGTGTCAGGGTCTGGTCAGGTTTACCCTGGGTGAGAAAGTACAGAACACCTTCCCTTATTTAGTTAGCAATGAATAAGGGACAGAGTCCATGAAAAACACCACTCACTAGACTCCTTGTTTTGCAATGTTTACTTAAAAATACCTCAGTGCTCTTGTCATATCTGGAAACAAAACACCAAAACTGGTGTCATGGTGTCACTAATTCCTGGGGGGAAATGCTGTACTTCTGAAACTTTTGGGCAGTAAGAACCTTCACACTGGGTCCTCTAACACTGACTTTGGTGAAAGTGCCACCCAGGCCTCGCTGAACCGCGGTAAAAGTCACTGTGTATGTTGAGGACTTTGTAATTCTGATTTGCTGAAGCAAAACGCAGCAAACTTCTGAAAGATTATTTTGTGCCCACTCTCTTTTCTGTCCACAGGTCCCTGTTGTGGATCACAAGATCACCATGAAAGAGGCAGGTAACTGACAGCAGGGGTGTACGGGGGGCGTCGGAGGGGCGTCGGAGGGGCGGGCGTTGACACCCTGACAGATTCAGGGGGCCCAGCACTTTATCGGGGCTCTTGAATACGAACAGTTATAAAATTATGTATTGTAATTTGGGGAGGGGGCCCAGGGTGTCATTCTGTTGGGGGGGGGGGTGTAATCTTTAGCTATGTGAAAAATGACTGAGTCACTGTGACATGAGTCCTACTTTACCACATTACAATAGGCGCCAAAAGCTCTAATTAATCGTGTGAATGTAACACTCGTTAGAAAGCCCCAAACATTTATGTTGTGAGTACTATTAGGTAACCTAACTGAGGGTTTGGGTATCTAGTAAATCAGACATGATTGTCGTACCCCTGGTACGCACTGCCTGTTCCTGACAGATTGTGTTGTTAGTGTGTGTATTTGTTAGACATACTAAAGAATGTCTCAATCCTGCTTTTCCTACTGGAAACGGCTGCTGTCCAGTGTAAGCCATCAGAAGGCATTATTTAGTATGGACCCCTATTATTCAAATCACGGCCCCCGAGGTCCGAGCACTGCTGGTTTTCCAGAATTCCTTTACCTGTGAGCCAGGTGTGAAGCCTCTGACCAATCAGAATCAGTAATTATTAAACTAACTACCTGGGAGAACTGAAAACAAGGCCTGGATTTGGAATCGAGGTTCAGATGTGAAGAACCCTGGTATAGACTGCAAATGTCAGTTTTTCTGCATATAGCGAGGGGTGTTGAATGTTGCGCATGTGATGTAGTTATGTTCAGCGTTCCTACACACTTTCCATTTTAAAATTACATACTTTTCCAGACTGTAGGGAGATGGAGTCAGTGAACAATGACTGAAAGGGGTGGCAGCAGCAATGGAATGACTGGTCAGGGCTGCACCTGTGACTAACAACTCACCCGTATTCAAAACTTTGAAAAACTTTACACTTACTTTGCAATTTGCTTTACAGACACATTTCAGATCCTTAGCCAGCCAGTTACCATAATTGGGATACGCAAGCCAGGCAGGTTAAAACTTGTATTTCCCCATCGTGAATGTTGTAAAATGCAAGGTCCCGTCAATGCCCTACCTCAGTATGTGTAGCTGGAATTTACTTAAGCACGCACCCCACAGACACACCCCTACTCCTCTGCTTGGGGCATCGCTCTTCAAAATGTGCTCTGTGCACATTCTGATGCTGATGACCAGCCCACAATCAGTGAATTAATCAAAAACATTAATTAGTAAATTAAATTTTTTTAATTACATAGCAGGCCAATTTGCCAGAGTCTGGAAATACTGAAATATTTTTATACTTTCTTTTTTCCATACTCATGTAGGCTTGGAAAACACTAAAATCAAATGTTATAATTTTCTGAATAGGCATATTGTAACGTCTTTACTTTAATATTCGCATTTATGGACTCCCTGGTCCCTTGACATGTTACGCTTTGTGACAGTAACTGTTAAAACGTTCATACAGACAGTGTTATCATAGCACTGTGTAGAGATTAACATCCATTCAAACAGATTCAAAGCTATAATAAAGTTCATATTAAGGCACACAGGGATTCCCTCCAGTGGTGCATGTTAGAGCTTCCTTTTGTAACTTAAGTGGTTCATGGAAGTGACTGTATTTACTACTTAGCTGAGTAATAAGGATGATAAGGGATGGTATGGTGTGCAGTGGCTAGCGGGAGCACCCTGCACCCCAGGAAACCAGAGTCTCAGCCCTGGTTATACCTTACGTAGAACAAGCAGGTATATAAAGTGGATGGATGGACAAATGCACAGACAGATGTTAAGATCAGTGACTTCCTGTTTTGGGCTGTAGGTTTTACTGCACACTGTGAGCAGACAGTGAATCGTCATTCAGGACTTCAGAGGCAAGTGTGTCCTGAAAACTAAGGGGGTGGGACAGGATGCGGCAGGATGCTCCCCTCTCGTCTCTCCCTACAGGCCCCGATCCTGACATCGCCGTCTACACCAAGTTCATGATGACTCACACCTGCTATGATGCCATTCCGACAAGCTCCAAGCTCGTTATCTTTGACACTACGCTGCAGGTGGGCAAAAAAAATAACGCTCCTCCACAAATGCATCTCCAAGAGTCGTTGAAATTTAAATGCGCATCCGCATACCCAATCAAGAGAGCCTTCAGTATGCATTTATCCACAAACTAGTCCGCATCTGCCAGTCGCCCCACGGTTTCCGTGTACAAACTGTGTTCAAATGGGCTGTGTGTACAGGTGAAGAAAGCCTTCTTCGCTCTGGTGGCCAACGGCTTGAGAGCAGCACCACTTTGGGACAACAAGCTGCAGTGTTTCGTAGGTAAGGAAACCCTAGCAAACTCCTGGTGTCACTTTACCCTCCGGAAAGTCCTCCATAAGCCAGGCTCAGATGACAGCCCCAGCCACTCCTCCACAAGGCTCGCTAACATCAATGCTGTATTTCAACTTCCAAGACTCCTTATCAGCACCTCCCAAAGCCCTCTCCATCCTCACTGCAGTGTACAATGACGGGGCGCTAACTTTAGCCAGAACACCTGAGCCTCAGTGTCTAGTGGGAATTGGCAGCTGGATAATCTCCCTCGCATTGGGCGTGGCTATAAATAGCCCCCATTCCCTCCACTAACGGGTGTCACGGTGCAGGCAGGAGAAAG